ACGAAGTTATACGAATCTCAAGTTGCACGAATCTCAAGTTGCCTCGTGAGAGAATAAAGTATAAAGTGTCAATCAAGAATTCGCGAATATGAAAGATGTGTAATCTAGATGCATGCAATTTTTAATGATACAAATTAAGAAAAATTTATTCGTAACTCTTTTTATGAGTTCTTGACATTTTCGACGGCTCGCATTTCTTCGAATTCTCCAAATATCTACTTACGTCCCCAACAAAATTATATTTAATTTTTTATCAACGAGTGGAAACATTCTACTCAATTTTTAGAAACTTAGGGAATTTTTTCGCAGTTTTACAAGAAAATAAAAAAACACTGCGTTCTGAAGAAATGTCACCGTTCGGTGATTTACAACAACGAAATATGAAATTATTGATATTATTTCCGATTTTAAAAGATATTGTTCTCTTTTTGTGGAATTTTTAATTTTAACTGTCTGGCCGTAGATAGAAACTAAGGTAGTCAATGTGTTGCGCACTGTCGAGAGACTAGCTCAGCGCAGCTCGGCTTTTGATAACGATGTACGCGCGAATAATCAAAGGAATTTAAGACTTAAATAGCCAGCTAGCACGGTGAAAGAAGTTTCGGCTCAATGAGAATATAAAGCCACCAAGCTGGATGCCGAGAGTAACTATGCTCCTCTAAGAAGGACGAGCTCGTTGTATTCAGCGAACCGAGGCAGTAGCCAAGACATTTAGGTACTTCATTACCCCATAATTGTTAATTCGCCGCGAACTTAATTAACAGTTAAAACTTTAATATTATAAGCTTAGCAAATATCTAAGACTTTAGATCTCGTCCACTAATAGCAACACTATCCTCACATTGAGGATACTGAAAAAGCTTTACAGAAATAATTTTTAGTTATTGTTATTAAAATTTTCGATGCACTAACAAATACAGTTTTTGCACAAATCAGTACCGGTTTTTATTTCAATAGTATTATTAATTAACAGCAAATAATATTAATAATTAATAGTATTAATAATGAATTATTAATTAATAATTATTATTAATACTATTATGCATATTAACGATATACATATACATTGGAATTCATAACAGCTCGTGTATCAAATTTAAAATATGTTTAACGTACTTTTTTATTAACTTTTTTTATAACTTTTATCACGAAGCAATTGTTGTACATTACGATTAATTACAATTAATTAGGCAAAAATGGTTAATACAGTATCTTCACGAGCAGACATAAATGTGAAAAGAAATTATATTTTTATAAGTTTTATGTTTCGTGAATTTTTTGATAAATTTTACTAATTCGTTAATAATGGAATTCAGTATTTTTTATGGATGAGCTTTGTTAAATACTGTGTTAAATATTTGCATTGAAATTTTTAATTAAAATTTTCACGGAGAAAAAACTTACAACAGGCTTATCACAAATTAAATGATACGTAAAATAAAGCTGCAGGCTAAAAATTATTAACAAATAAAATTACAATTCAATATTAAATACGGTAATTTATTGCGAACAGTTCTTTCAATTTTTTTACAAGGTGCTCGAAAAATCGGAAAATATAGAAAAATATATGAATTGATTAATACAATTTTTCAAGCTATTTACACAGTATTTATTTCGTTATCTATGTTTGATTATAAAACAGTTTTGAAATAATAAACGAGTAAAATACTGATATATTTAATAACCTTAAAAATTGCGATTAAAAAAATTGTTTTACATATAAATTTTCCTCAAGCGTGTACATGATATAAAGATCTGCTGCGTGATGCGTGATAATTCTCACTCCGTCGTATTGAATCGTCTACGTTTTTATGAAATAGATTTTTCATCAGTTATTCGCATTATCCGTATTATTCGCATGGTTAGCTGCTTGAACGGCTTTTATGTGGCGCGAAGGCAGACCGACACTTCTCGTGGATTTTATCTGCAAAATTCCTTTCCGAGTTTTACTAAATGTAAGTCTGCCGAAAGCTGCGATTCGATTCTCAACGTACGTAACTCTTTAACATAATTATTCTGAAAATGTAGCTACGCGGTTACGCCGGAGACTGAATGATAAAAACTTTATTTCTTTGTACGAAGAAAAAGTACCGACAAAGATATTGTTGCTCGCTTTATTTGACAAGCGCGGGAGACTTTTCCCTACGCTCCAAACGTTTTTCCATTTTATAATTCCCGAGTTCATCACGTAAGCTACATTAAACAGACGCAGGTCACGCTCGCTTCATGCGAGCGGAATTTTTCTGTCAGCAAACCGGAAGGTAGCTCTCGAAGTTCCGCGGAAGCAATAGAGGAATCGACGCGTCGAAGAATCTCTATATTTTCAACGCGCCGGTGATATTAAAGGTCCACTGGCTGCCGGAGGAATCTACTGCGGCAACGTGGTGCTCGTCGATGAAGAGTTCCGTAAAAGCTCGGGCTTATCGTGTATAAAAACGAAGCGACCCAGATCTACCGGATGTTCTTTCGGTCACCAGCGCTGAACGTTAAGTTAATAATGATGACGGTTTGCTTCGATTATCCAATTTTGTGTAGAAGAATCACGTGAAACACCGCGAACGGATTCAATACCAAATATCGCTATTGTTGACTGCCAGTATTGCGCCGATTAAGTTCGATCATAGGAGAATAATAGTGTCCTGCGGCAAAAGCCGCCACGGGCACAACATTGGCAAAAACATACCGACCTATATTGGTACGACGATTCCACACAGTTGACCTAATATTTCGAAGGCTATTCCGGTGGAAGTAGTATCGGTCAATATTGACTCAGATCAGTCCGGTTGTTTCGCAATAGCGGAACTATACGTTTTCCCTTAAAGCTCGGGTTTAGTGCATGCCACGTCGGATTGTAACATCATTAAGCGAGAAATTACACGTAATTTTCTCTCACACTGAAATGTTAACCGCTCACAAGCGCTGTCGACGCACGGTAATACGTGAATATTGCAATACGCATTGACCCGAATAGACATCGTAACTCCGACAGTTAACAGTAATGGATTATTACTAAGACAACATTGACTGCTAAGGCTTAACCAACATTACTCAGCATATATTAAATTTGTATGAGAGTATCGACGGGCCTCTACGCAGGCGTCTCCACGGAATATTTTATAAAGTAACAGTCGAACTTGATAAAAAAATAGAGTGAGAACAGATCGTGGCAAGCTCGAAATCCAGCACGCGAAGTCGACACGATGCAGCAAAACGAACCAAGCATTATTTCCAAGAAGAATCCCGCGGGATTCGCGAGAAACTGTCGTTGCCGATGGGAGAACTGTTCGATTCCATAGATCGAAACTCCGCGTCCAATGATTGTTATCGGTCGGAGAAAAGATCGATGCGCGAGTAAAGAGGGCCAATCCATGAA